TGTGGTAATGAATGGGCGAATCAGCTCACGGTGCTAATATAATTGGGAAGAAGCCTGGAAAAGTCTGATTTTGTTAGTGCTGCACAGACTTGGCTGGGGGATAATGACAAATATCTTATGCTAACAGGGCTACAGCGCCAAGGAGTCTTTATCTTCTTCTATGTTTGCCGTTAAAATGGTGGTTAGCACGTTGTGTTACAGTTTGACTTGTGTCAGTCCAGTAAATCTGACTTCAGCAAATTTCTGATTAGTACTCTTTTAAAACATGCTTCCCAGTAGATAGGGCATCTGTTCTTTTTCCGCTAAAAAAAAAAAAGAAGTCCCCAGACCCTACCTGGGGATGATGAGGGAATAACACCTGGCCAAACATACCTATGCTGTCTTTGATGTGAAGATATCATAAGACATTAATTATAACCAACTTATTGAAACAATTAGAAGAGATACATTTGTTAAAATATGTTTGGATATGGATTCCTATGAACAGGATACCAAAGGCTGTGTTGCTTGGAAAAGGGTGGGGGGGGGGGCTACAAAGAGAATAGGAATAAATGAGAAAACAATTAAAGATAGATGGAGATCTGAGCGTCTGAAAAGAAGCATGTTAAATATATTTGTTGCTGTGATTCCCATGTCCCCACTTTAGAAGAGTGTGTTTAAAACCATGGGCCTGGGCCACTGAAAAGTCCAGATGGGCCCCCAAAAAAAACTCCACTTAATCATATAAGGAGGTAGGGTATGCAGTGTTTCTTTTCCGCTCTGTGGGATTAACACTTCAAGGGTCTCCTATTTGCATGAAAAGGCTTTCTCAGGGTTGTCAATCATATAAAAAAGAGAAGATGAAGGAATGTTATCATAGTGCTTCATCTATCAGAAACAATGCTCCAGCCTCATAAACAGCTATCTTCCATTTTTTTTTTGTGTGTTAGGTTAGCTGTCAGGTGGGCCATGAAATAGTTTACCTGTGGGATTTTTTGATGGGCTGCAGGTGTTAAAAGGTTGAGAAACACTGCTTTAGACCAGTGTAACACGATCATCTGGAAAGACAGAAAGGTGCCAACAGCCCTGGAATTACTGCTGCATCAGAAGACTGAGCATGCATGGAAGTGCACAGTTTGCAGTGATCTCAGTTGTGATAACATAACCAGTAATCTACCAGGGAACCTCATTAAGTAAAGGCTATTGTATCCTAGTCAGCGTGGAACAGTATGCAGAAGAAAATATATTATTTCAGGACATAGCAGTATTGAAATATCCAGCATGTAGCCCAGAATTGGTACCATCGGACTTTCATTTGTTTGGCCTGTTGAAAAAACATTTGCGAAGTCATAGATTTGCAGATGACAGTGAGGGGATGTCAGTGATGCGAACTTGGTTTCTGGCCACACCCAAAAGCTTCCACCTGGCAGGTACCCACAATCTTGTGGACCGGTGGACTACGTGTGTTGCTTGCAAGGCAGGGAGACTATGTGGAGAAATAGGAAATAGAAACACTTTTGTACCAGCCACTAGTAAAAATATTTATTAATGCAATTGCCCTCACTTAATGATTTTCCTTTGTATTTGCCATAAATGTATTCTTCTGTAAAATTTATATGGAGGATTCCCCAGGTCTTCTGAATTCACTTGTGGCAGCTGTGAATGATTCTGCAATATTTCTGTCTAAACATTGCTGTTTGTATCCTGTAGCAGTCCATGTGCATTACTGTTAGTTTATTCAACCCAGAATGAAGTTTTATTGTCTTGTGATGACATGAAGCCTCCGTATAAATTATGTTTTTCTGGAATAACTTGACTTCTCTTCTTTCTTGTCTGTTGTGAAGTTAAAAATTTTTCATGTCTGTTTGATCGCTTGTTCTGGTGAACATTTACTAGTTTAGTGTACATGTTGCAAAGAATAACAATGACATTCTGTGGTGTATGTTTATGTTTCTGCATTTTAAAAATATTATAAATTTTTAAAAAAATATTATTGAGAAAGCAGAATAGAGATTACAGACCAGAGAGTGACAGCATAAACAAACTCAACAGGAAAGAACAAACATCAATTTTTAGACTTCAGACTGGACACTGTGGTCTTCAAGCACACTTCTACAGGATAGGCATAAAAAAATCTGCTGCCTGTGATTGTGGAGCAGAAAGACAGACCCCTGAGCACATACTGCAGTACTGCCCTTACCTCTCCCAGCAAAGACTGTGGATCTGGCCCAGGGGATCCACATTGCGAGAGAAGCTATGGGAGACCGGTGGCGACCTTAAACGCACAATCCTATTTTTGACCCAGATGGGACTCAATGTGTAGCGTGACTGATGTCGAACGCAGAAGAAGAAAGAAAATATTATTCTGTTGACTAGAATTCACCAATGGAAATATGATGTAGTTATTGAGTTAGTTTTTCAAGGAATTAGCCTCACTGCATATAGAACCTTTCAGTTTATAAAAATTAATATCTGTTCCTCGGGAATTCCAATAGCTGACAACACATGTCCTATGTTAGTTTCTTATTCTTCTGTGGCTTCCTGCATAGTGCTCTTGTCACAACCCCTTTTAAAATGCTGTTCATGCAGTCTGGTCATGGTTGCAGATTCACAGTCATCACCTGGGTCTCGCAACTGTCTTACTTCTCATAGAGCTTTCAGTGTATCAGCCTGGTTATTGGCTCATCCAGCTTCCACAGTAGCTTTACCTGCAAGCCTATCAGCTTGCTTATTTTCTTGAACGCCTGCATGCCCTGGTAGGAATATGAAACTGATATTTGTCAGCCCTGGCTGCCTCAGAGACTCAAACCACTATCTTTGAACCCACCCTACCTCTTATCTTCCTGAGCATACTCGTTGAGTCACTGAAAAGACATGTGTAAGTAAAGGTAGTGTCTCCAGCCAAGTTATTGCTTTGGTTGCTGCCATGACCTCCATAATCAAACTACCTGCTTTACAATTCTAACTCCAACCTGAGCCGAACCACAGGCCCATCTGTGTAAATGACAGCGTCCCCCTCTAGAGAATTCTAAAAAATCAAAGCCTACCCTTCTGCTTGCACAGTAGCCAGACTTTCTTGGCTGCATTTTTTGTCTAGTCAGATGCGAACAGAAAAAGTCATACAGCACTCTGCTCGTACTTTTGTACCCATTGCTCAAGTCCCGACACCTGCTGAATAGTGTCCTTGGCTGGATTGCTGGTTCTTTGCATCTAAGGCAAATGCACTTCAGCTTTGAAGGTTAGGTTAGTTGCGTATCCTTTACAGGACGTTGCAGAACCAACCCCAACAGCCCCTGGCTGTTATGTGGTTTTTCAAGGCAAATTTACATCCAGTAGTTTGCTATTGCTTTCTTAATACCACTGTCGAAACCGACGCAAGTCGCATGGCCCGCAGCTGGGATCGAACCTGGCATTCCAGCATTACGAAACGTTCGCATCGACTTAGCCACAGAGCCGACGACTTTGAAGGAAACGCCCCAAACTAGTTGCCTTCTATGACATACTTGCTAGGGAGCAGTGGGTATGTTCCTTGTTCTCCAAAATGGAACCCCCAAACCCACACAGGGATTTTTTTCTTTATTTGTGTGTGTGTGTGTGTGTGTTTGCCAATGACATATGGTCAGGGGCGGTACACTATGCTTTTATCATTTTAAAAATACAAACCTTTAAACAGGTAGATGGATTTCTATTCTGATAATTAAATTGCTTTGTTTAAAATTGTGTAGCAGTTAATAACCATTTACTGTTGATTGCGTAAAAACTATAATTTTCTTTTTTTCCCCAACTTTTTCCAAGTAAATTAGCGCAACATGAAAATGACAAGTGATAGACGTAACAGCATGAACTGTTTGTCTACATTATGCCTGTTGTTTTTTATTACTAAGCATTAGTTTTTGTTTCTTTGCCAAGAAGTTATTACACCAAATCAGTGGTTGCCAGTTAGCTAAGATGTGCCGACCACACTCATTTTCGAAGGTTTGCCATGGACTCTATATTTTAAAAGTCTTATTGAACAACATATTTGAATTTTTAAATATTAGAATGCATTTTAAGGCTGAGGAGTTTTTTTCCAGTTTGTAAATGATATCATATTGCTTACATTTGTTTCACGACCACCAGATGATAATGACTACTGTGAAGTAATACATGTTTGGATCAGAAGTAACTAAAACATATATTTCAAGGGTTGAGCAAAAATTGTCTGAGAATGCCTTGTGTAAACAGCAAGGGTGTTTAAAAGCAAAAGGGTCATCTTCTTTGCTGTTGGTTTTAATCCCTGAAGAGCTGCTGTTTTTCTACCAGGAGTAGTAAACAAAACATGACATGCTGTAGCTTCAGCCATGACCCCAAAAGAGCTGCTGCTTGCTTACCAAGAGCAGTACGCAACACATTAAATTCTGTAGCTTCAGCCGTGACTCCAGAAGAGCTGCTGCTTGCTTACCAAGCGCAGTACACAACACATTAAATGCTGTAGCTTCAGCCGTGACCCCAGAAGAGCTGCTGCTTGCTTACCAAGAGTAGTACGCAACACATCAAATGATGTAGCTTCAGCCGTGACCCCAGAAGAGCTGCTGTTTGCTTACCAAGCGCAGTACACAACACATCAAATGCTGTAGCTTCAGCCGTGACCCCAGAAGAGTTGCTGCTTGCTTACCAAGCGCAGTACACAAAACATCAAATGCTGTAGGGAAGAATATGTTGCAGGGGCAACAATTTACACCCTCAAACAGATCTGCATAAATGTTGGTTCTGAAGTCCACTGTTCATCAGTCCATTTTCATAAATAACTAAAGAAGGCAACTGTTGTTATTATTATGTATTATTTTTTTTATTAAGCTCTTCAATCAGACACCAACAATATTAACTAATGCTGCAATGTTATAATGACATTGTTGTGGCTATGGGATGATAAGAACCCACATTCAAGACAAGTGTAATGTATTCAAATGCTTTCCAAATTGCTGTGTTGCCGTCACATAATTATGCTCTGGTTTATTTATTTATACACTTATTTTTTGCAGGCCGCAAACAAGAAATTATCAAATTGACCGAACAACTGCTTCAGGCTATTACCAGTGGTGACTATGGGGAATATACGTTAGTACTTTTGTTTCTAAGTATTTTTTTAAAGTTATGTTTGCTTGTTAAAGGTGGGAGTGGTGTCAGTTTGATTGTTAAGGGGTGCAATTTGAAAATTCACTCATGCAAAGTCGTCCAAAGTTTAAGTTACATAGAGGGCATAAGAATTTTATAGAGGTTTTAGTGGGGCCTGGCACACAAAAATGTTTGAAAAACACTATTCTGGTTCCTTTGTCCATGTGTTTCTTGTTTGCCTGTATTTCTATGGCCCTGTGGGTTCTAGTGTAAAGCCCTTCTAGTTATATAGCTCTTAGGATTTATAGTGAAGATAAAAGTAAAGGATAAATGTCGCTTTACATGCCAACTGCACATCGGGCATATGAGGCTAGACTCATATTTGTATAAACCAATCAGCCCTTAATGGGTGATATGGTTAACATTCTGCTGGCAGCTTTTACTTCCCAAGACTTATACCTGGTACCCATTTAAGGCTGGGTCCACATGGAAACCAAGAAAATCTTTAAAATCAATCTAGCACCATGCGGATTTCAACCCACAATCTTCACATCCACAAGTGAGCATCTAGGTCAGTGGTTCTCAGCCTTCCTAATGCCGCGACCCTTTAACACGGTTCTGCATGTTGTGGCAAGCCCCTAACCATAAATTATTTTCATGGCTACTTCATAGCTTTGGCGAATATGTGTTTTCCATTGGTCTTAGGTGGCCACTATAAAAGGGTTGTTCGACTCACGACCCATAGGTTGAGAACCCCTGATCTAGGTGCTACGCCACAGTGGCTCTTAAAGTGACGGTATTGTCCATAAAGTAAGAAGAGAGAGAAATATTAAAGATTATACAATAAGACAGTAAAGTTTCAGTAAATGTGCCAAAGCTAATCAAGTAATGGGTCAACTATCTCCCCTGTTGACACACAAGCAGATACCTCAGAGTACTAAAGTGAATCTTATCAGAACTATTTTTTGGCCAATATTATGCTATCAGTGCCAAACGTGGACACTTACATCCTCCAATGAACGTAAAATTGTGACAACAGAGATGAAATGCCTTAGAAGAGCTGCAGGAGTTTCAAGGAAAGACAGAATACAAAATCATGAAATCAGACGAATGCTAGGAATAAAGCCAGTCTTACAGGTCATCAAAGAACAACAAATGAAATGGTTTGGACACCTAACAAGAATGCCCTGGTACTATCTGCCACAGTGAGCCACACTAAAACGTTACAACGGGTATAAAGCGAGTGGAAGACCTCGGAAAAGATGGAGTGATGGCATTAAGAACAGCCTTACAGAAATGAACATCAGTCTTAATAGTGCTCTTGACAGAGCCCATCAACGAACATTACATCTCCCCCCGACACTTCGATGAGGTACAAGGTGGAAGAGAAGAAGAAGAAGAAGTTTCAGTAAACTCCATCTACTAAGTGAGTAAAATTATAGTAATGTCCATATAATAAGACACTTATGGAGTTATCCATTTATTAACATAGTAAAGTAGGAGTGTTTCCAAACATCAAGACTATTCATTTATGAAAATAACCTTACAATAAAGTAGTACAGTGATAGAAATGATTTTGGGAAAAAAAAAATTCTGTTAAGGATAGTAATTAATGTCTCTGTAAAGAGACAGTGAAATGAGAGTGATGATACAGACTTTGGCTGAAATATGCATTTATGCCTGTTTCTTTCTTTTTGTTTAGCTTTCCATTAATATTTTCAATTTGTTCATCTCTGTTTGTAATCTCCGTTCACAGAAAGTTGGTAGACCCCCACTTAACATCATTTGAACCTGAAGCGTTAGGAAATCTTATAGTTGGTCTGGACTTCCATAAATTTTACTTTGATCATGGTAAGTAGCTAAATGTTTGAACTAGATAAGATCTAGGATGAGAGCCAGGCAGAATGATTAAACTTGATAGGATCTGAGTCAAGAGCCATTCATTATGATTGAATTAAAATGGACTGAGAGAGACAGAGACAGCAAGAGAAGACGAAAGTGTGTGGGTGTGTTTAAGAGAATAAATGGTGATAAAAAGTAGGTGTGTGTAAAAGGAAAGAGGGGAGTGTGTTGGTGTATATGGAGAAAGAAAAAGAAAGACAGGGTGATTAAGTTTAGGCAAAGAAAGGTGAGAGAAATCAAAAAGACATTTGATGATGAAATTGCTTGAAGAAAGAAGGAAAAATTGGAAGTGTGGAACAGAGAGAGGGTTGTAATAAAGGAGCCTTTTCCATGCCTCTAGGTGTATTGGGCATATAGGGCTAGACCTTGATTTTATAGATCGATTAGTACTTGGTGGGTAATTTGGTCGACATCCAGCCAGGTACCTGTTACCCACTCAAGGCTGGGTCAACCTGCAAACCAAGGTCATTAACTCTTTGAGTCCTGAGGAACGCATCATACGTACCTAGGTTCCTACCTAAAAGCCCAATGATATCATGATGCGCTGATTTAATGTTTCTCTTCACTACCCCTTGGGTCTGTGATGCTAAACCCCCTGGGACTCAAATAGTTTTTTTTTTTTAAGTTAGGTACCATCAGAACCCGAACCCATGACCTTCGGATTCACAGGTGAAGGTTTAGCCGCTACACCATGAGAGGGTTGAGCCGCTACACCATGAGAGGGTTGAGTGAATGAGTTTAGAGGAAGTTCAGGTGTCAGGCAGAGATGGCGGATGTTAGGTGGTTGGATAAGGAGGGAGACAGAAAAGTGATGGGTGGTGTAAAGGGAGAAATAAAAAGAGAGATTTCTAGAAAGTAGCTTCATGGAAAACAACTTGACAACAACAGCTATACAGTGGGACCTCGCTTAACGAGCATAATTCGTTCCAGAATCCTACTTGTTAAGCGAAACACTCGTTATGCGAAACAGTTTTTCTCTGATAAATCAATGTAAAATACGATAATGCGTTCCATGTCGAAAAAATACTCACAAAATGTTATGTGTAACGTTTATTTTAAAAAAAATTATATACATATTGTTAAGGTGAGTGAATCATCTTCATCTTTTCTTCAAACGGGGAATGAACCCTCCTGGAATGCGAATTCGATTTGCAGACAACAAAAAACAAAAAGTCAAAATAATTATGATACAGAGCTAAATATTTCTTTTACTAGAAAGATGTCCAGAGACATTTGTTTTTGCCGACACTTCAAACTTAGACCAAAATGCGACACAGCATTATCATTAAATAAATTTGTAACGCGCATAGCCGCTTCCTTATAAGGGTGATGCTTCTCAATGTAAGATGCAACAGTTTGCCATGCTTTCAGCATTTCTCTTATTTCGCCAGAAGATTGTTGCTTTTCTGTTACCACCTCCTCCTCATCTTACAAACTTTCCTCTAAAACTTCTTGCTGTGAAACACAATGCAACTTCATAAGCTCTTGGGCGGTCAGCTCTTGGCTGTGCTCTTCCACAAGCTTTTCAATACAGCTTCCACAGGTACTGTTTCGAACCCCTCAAAGTCACAAATCGACAACGCTCTCCAGCCAAAGCTTCTTCTAAACAGAAGTTAGGGTTCTCTTGGTAACCCTTTCCCCCGCCGTGTTGATCATCTTGAGGCAGGCAACGTTGTGGAAGTGATTTTTCCAAAACTCTTTGAGAGTGAGGTTGGTCCCTTCAGTCACCTGAAAACAATGTTCGAAGAGTGCTTTAGTGTAGAGCTACTTAAAGTTAGAAATAACTTGCTGGTCCATGGGCTGGGGTAACAGAGTGATGTTGGGAGGCAGAAACTGGATCTTGATCAACTTAAATTCTTCAGGAAGGTCATCTTGTAGGCCTAGAGGATTCATTTGTCACAATATAACACACATTTGAGAAAATGTGTGATCACAAGCGACACTATGATGCTACTGGAACGATTGCTAAGCTAAACACAGACTGATGTAACATGCACACAATCCGGGACTTCCCCTCTCCTCGCCACTCGTTATGCGAAACGTCGCTCATTCTTTTACAATTTGCTGTTGCTCGTTGTGCGAATTACTCATTATGAGAGGTGCTCGTTAAGCGAGGTTCTACTGTATATTAAAAATATCAGTAGAGAGACCTTATAGTAGCTACTGAATTGGAGGACTGAGCACACATGGGAATATCTAATGGGCAGTGATGTTGACTGTGATAACATAGCATATTAAAAATAGTTCTTTGTAACAGAAACACGGAATAAGTTTGTGTCTTGGACGTGTTAGATGATGGCAAAAGTGAAACAGAAATAAAAAAGAGAATAAGAATGGCTAAAAATATCTTTAACAAGATGTGATTATTAGTTTCTAGAGAGATAAACAGGACATTAAAAATGAGAATATTCAAATGGCATGTAAAATCATACTGTGTGTGACAAAAACCTGGACAATGAACCAGCATCTAAGAAATCAATTCAAGTCTCTGGAGATGTGGATATACAGAAGAATACATTTCATAGGAGCAAAAACAGTAAAATACAGATGTTTTGGAGAGACTGGGTAAAAGGTTGCTGAAAGAAATTTAAAAACAAAATTAGAGAGAGAGAGATTGAAAGAGAGAGAATAGGTCAAATATGGCAGCCACATTAAAAGAAAAAACACTGTTTACTAAAGGTTAAAGAGAGCAAGAGGTAGCCAGTAATGTAAGTGGGAGGAAACTTATCAAGAGATGGACAAACGGCAGAGAGTGTACAACCAAGATGACAAACAAAGCATATTGGAGATCCATTGTAGCCTACCATCACTGTGGAGCTGGAACCTGATTGACTGAACATGCAATAAGAGTTTTTCTAACCTCCAATTTATAAAGAATCTTCATCATCAGGTATCCTGTCGACTGGCGGGGGCGATCATTCCTCTCCACAATCTGTGATCTCCTGCAGCATGTATCAGATCATGTGCTGACACACCTCCATGCCATTCAACAAGACTGTCAAGAATCTTCTCTAGCTGTCTTCCTCTATCCCTCCTTCCACAGATCTTTCCAGTGGTCACAACATGTTCCATTTTCCCCTCTTCCCATAACATGGCCAAAAAATGATAGCTTTCTCCTTCTGATGTCTGTGATAATTTATCTTCGGGCTCCTGCCTCTTTCAAAACCTCTTGGTTGCTCTTTTTGGCTGTCCAAGGTATTTTAAGCATTCTTAAGTAAATTTATATTATATAATTGTATATTATATAAATTATGTAGAATATTGACTCAGAAAGGGTGAGTGAATTTAACAACTGTCTTGGGACAGAATGAATTAAGAAAAGTTAGGCTACTAGAAGCTGAAAAATCAGGAGTTCAGCAATGTGTTTGCTCAGGGACTCAAACGAGCATGCTACAGAAGTTTAAGGCGGGGCACAGTGGCTCCATCTGATACAGCATGCAGCATTTTGCAAAATCACCTTTATTTTTGTCCCCGGGAATGCTGGTGTGGAAGGCAATGAGAAAGCAGATAATCTGGCTGGTAGTGGGACTATCAGGAATGGGCCCTCTATGGACAGGAGAGACACTGGCAATACCATATGAGAGTCTAAATGCCGTAAGGCTTTCAGTTTTGTGGAAAATGATTTTTCAGTGGATAGACTGCATACCAGGGATGTACCAGTTGGAGCGGCAAGACAGGAAAACCATGCAGGAGCCACCCGTCATTGCATCAGCCAGGACAGAATGTGAGTTGTTAGTCTAAAAACACTTGGAGACATACTCAGGAGGAGCACTTCTGGCCAAGTGTGATGAAGATGATCTCAATAATGAACAATGAGCAAAAGGCTATTCGGGGTTACAAAGAAACAAATGGTGCGTTGCTTTGCAGAATAAGTCACAGCATAAATATACTGTTTTTTGTGTGTGAACACTTGTCTCATTGATGTCATTGCCCTGTCTTCCAGTACTGTCAAAAAATAGCAAGCCTGTGAACACGAGTATACTCAACCCCCATGTACATCTGCTGGGTGAGGATGCTGCTTGTATTGCCTACGTCAGGCTGACACAGTTAATTGACAGGTGAGTGTCTACCTCTACACGTTGTTGAATACTAGGTGTCATTCAATAAGTCACCAATTATCTCGCCTGCACACTGAACATTGCTGATGCAACTCTTCTTCTTCCTAATATTCATGAGCTGTAAACTCTTGTGAAAAGTTTAGTTATTCACCCACTTCTAGATTTTTTTGTCTTATTCTAGAACTTAACTCTTTGAGTCCCAGTGGGTATAGCATCAGAGGCCCAAGGGGTAGTCAAGAGAGAAGTAGAATCGGTGCATCTTGCATTCATTGGGCCTTTTTTTTTATCAGGAACCTATGAACGTATGATGCGTTCCTTGGAACTCAAAGGGTTAAAGTTTACAGGTAAGGTTTATTTGTTTGCCAACAGAAGCTTGCAGAATTTGAATGAAACAGCCCTAATTTAGTCAAAATTTACTCTACATACTTGTTTATGAAATTGTGGGTCCACCCACAGTTCCCCAATCCCCAAATATGGCCCTGGAACCCACATGTGATGTAGACTCAACAGATGTTGATATATATTTTGTCACTAATTCCTTCTTCTTCTCTTTCTGCAGTTACTTCAGTAAAGTATTGGGGGAGATGCAATGATTACCTGTAGTCCCTTTCTAATGTGTTTTATAAGTTGGTCTTAATTTCTCTAAGACTGTTCTGGACGTAGTTGTTCCATCCTTTGCTTGGTTTTCCACTTGCTTTATATTCATTATATTACATCAGTGAGACTTTCAGTGGCACCAAGAACTTCTTGTCAGCTGGCAAGACTATCCTCAACAATTGCATCATTTTGGTCTTGTTTCATGCACATAAATTTTACAGGTCTGCCTTATGTGTTGGTTCCTTGCCTCTTGGGCACATGTGTGCATACTTCAAAGGAAACACCTATAATTGGTCGTCATTTACTACACGTTTGTTTTTGGGAGCAGTGGGTCTTTTCTTCTAATGGGGACCCGGAACCCACACAAGGAGCAAAGGTCTGTTCTTCTAATGGGGATCTGAGACCCACACAAGGAGCAGAGGTCTGTTCTTCTAATGGGGACCCGAGACCCACACAAGGAGCAGAGGTCTGTTCTTCTAATGGGGACCTGAGACCCACACAAGGAGCAGGGATCTGTTCTTCTAATGGGGACCCGAGACCCACACAAGGAGCAGGGATCTGTTCTTCTAATGGGGACCTGAGACCCACACAAGGAGCAGGGATCTGTTCTTCTAATGGGGACCCGAGGCCCACACAAGGAGCAAAGGTCTGTTCTTCTAATGGGGACCTGGAACCCACATGAGGAACAGGGGTCTGTTCTTCTAATGGGGACCCGAGACCCACACAAGGAGCAGAGGTCTGTTCTTCTAATAGGGACCCAGAACCCACACAAGGAGCAGAGGTCTGTTCTTCTAATGGGGACCTGGAACCCACACAAGGAGCAGAGGTCTGTTCTTCTAATGGGGACTCGAGAGGAGCAAAGGTCAGTTCTTCTAATGGGGACCCAGAACCCACACAAGGAGCAAAGGTCTGTTCTTCTAATGGGGACCCAGAACCCACACAAGGAGCAAAGGTCTGTTCTTCTAATGGGGACCTGGAACCCACATGAGGAACAGAGGTTTGTTCTTCTAATGGGGACCCTAGACCCACACAAGGAGCAGAGGTCTGTTCTTCTAATGGGGACCTGGAACCCACACAAGGAGCAAAGGTCAGTTCTTCTAATGGGGACCTAGAACCCACACAAGGAGCAAAGGTCTGTTCTTCTAATGGGGACCCGAGACCCACACAAGGAGCAGAGATGTGTTCTTCTAATGGGGACCCTAGACCCACACAAGGAGCAGGGATCTATTCTTCTAATGGGGACCCGGAATCCACACAAGGAGCAGGGATCTATTCTTCTAATGGGGACCCGAGACCCACAAAAGGAGCAGAGGTCTGTTCTTCTAATGGGGACCCGAGACCCACACAAGGAGCAGAGGTCTGTTCTTCTAATGGGGATCCGGAACCCACACGAGGAACAGACTCAACAAATGCGCATAGGTATGAGCGAAACTGCTCTCTGCATGTGTCATCATGCTGAACACACTCCAGAACATGTCTTGCAGAACTCTCTGGAGGAGCTCAGAAGCAACATGTGGCCACACCCAGTAGACCTGACAACTAAGCTTTGAGGAAACCTAAGAGACTTTGAGCTGACATCTCAGTTTATGGCCTCTGCTGGTTTAAGTGCATGACAAGAGATCACTAAACAAAGAAAGTTCAGTGAGTTTGAGTTAAAAAGTTGGGACCGTCTCGTCAGTTAAACAAATTGTAGAACTGGTTCCTAATCTTCTTCTTTTTAATGTTATTATTTATTCTTGCTTCTACAGCAACTCCATGACCAAACTTTAAAATAACTCTCTTTTCAACAGAAATGGACTGCCTGTTACAAAGCACTCAGAAGAGACCAGAATTTGGCAGCGAAAGGATGGAAAGTGGCAGAATGTTCACTTTCATAGGTCTGGCTCATCTACAACAGAAACAGGGAAATAAAGGCATCCTGGACAAAGAAGCATACAACATTGTTTTACTCTAGTAGATCATTTGGTTAGCTGTCAGCTCACTGCCCTACAGGCTGGTCACTAGAACAGCCCCAGTCTAACCATGTGTATGCTAAATTGTTTGAGTGTGTCATGAAGACCTGTGTAGACTTCCGCCAATGTTGTTGCATGCGGTGATGCATTTTAAAATTGTATGACCACTGCATCACAGTGAGTGAAGTGAGCCACATGCAGGCACATGCACACTGGGCTGTTCTCCAAATGTGAGAATATGATTTGTGGTTTGCATTGTATGAAACTGCAGTTTCTTTAATTACATTTTAATTTATTTTGGCTTCATTTAATGCCTTCATACGTTTGAACATGTTGGGAACGTGTTGGCAAGTTGTGCACCCAACATGTGAGCATCCAGACTTGGTGGTCTTTGATACGCACTGGTGCTGTATACTCACAGCTCACACATTTCTAGCTGCCATATTGAGGATAAATGAGAGACTATGTCTTTGATATATGTTCATAAAAGTACTTTGAATTTCTCTTATCCTTTTTGGTGACATTATTGTCATGGTCTGTATTAAGCATTGTTGAAGTCTTCTTGCACATTTGGTGAGAGCTTTTTTCTTACAGAAGTATGGATGTCATTGACAGGTTTAAAATGAGCTTGTTTCCATTCCTGACAACTCATTGCGTGAATGTGTATTGGAGATTGGAGCTAGGGGAAATACATTTTAATGTCCTGCTACTATTTCTTAGGGCAGTACCTGAATAGTATATATTTACAATTATAGACATCTTTCATGGTAACTAATTTTTATTTGTTTTTGTTTGCCGTGTCATTATAGCTTTGTGTGCACAGTAATTTTTTATTTTATTTTTTCAATCACAATTCAGAACTTGTGTATACACATCAGTTCTTCATGAGATGTACGTTTAAGGTCATTCTTGACTTCTTTAACCTATCTGAGTACTTTTGAGTACACAGCAGAGCACTAGAGCTTGTAAGTCTTGATTTGTGTATCGCAGTTCAGTTCCTTTGTGTACACAGACATTTTCTTTAGAGTTCTTTGTTCCCAGTAGTAATATTAGTAGAATTTTTGTCCCAGTAATTGCAGAAAATTTTGACAGGAAAAGTAAGATGGTTGCTTCACTTCAGTGCTTTCTTGTCTGACCATGGAGATACAGATAAATTGTTGGTATGTTGTGGTAAACAAATGTGTATTGTTCAGCTGTACTGAATGTTGGTTTCAATTCTTTTTTACATGTACTCTCCACTGAGTTTTATTTCTTTTGTTAACCTAGGGTCTGATTTCATTGTTGCATTTTCAGTTTAAAATGTTCATATTCTTGCTCGTTTTTAATCTCTTTATTAGAAAACCTGTTTTGTCCCTGTCCACAGGTCTGTTTTGATTGAGTTCCTGTGTAAACAGTTTCAGGAGATCTGTGTTGTATCCAGTGGATTGGCTGGATATTAATGGTCTCATAAATTGTGAAATACAATTAGTCACTTCTTCAGCACAGACCAGTTGAACTGAGCAGTTTAGTGTCATGGCAGAGTGTACTCTATTTTGAGACATTTCAAATGGAGAATTTGAATAATAGAGCCTTGGTCAGTTTCTTATTCTTCATTTTTTCTGTTTTTTTTTTTTATCTTTCTAAAAACAGTATATGATTGTTATACTTAGGAATTTATTTATTTTACTGTTTATTGGCTATACCATCTTGTTTTGTGGTGTACTAGATTGTGTACTCACATGGTGGATTTAAATCCCCCTTGAGGTGTAATTTTTTCAAGAACACAAGGACTGTGGCTTACCACACCACCTCTCAAGTGCTGCATAAAGTTTATGTCAATTTTACAAGTCTAATTACAGTAGATAGGAATTCCATTGAAATGTGACAAAAGCCTAAAGAAATAGGGAAGCAGTAAAACGTACAGAAAACAATGTTTCGGCCAGTGGTCTTTCTCGAACCAGTAATGAACTAAACAGCAGTAACAAAGAGGAGGGAATTACTTTTCACTGGAATTCCTTGGGATTAGCTTGTCTGCAGTTACCCCCATTTTTTTACAATATTTTATTTTGATATATGTTCCTGTTAGAGACAATATAGGCCTTTTCTGACATCTCAATATGCCATGATTGCATGGAAGTGGATCATTTTACCCTTTTATTCAACAATTTTTTTTTATTTTATAACGGCTTTTGTATGTTATGCAGACATTATACCCAGCCTAAAGAATATACGTTTCCTTTATATTTTGTTGAGTGTTTTTTTTTTCTAGGTTTATTCAGTTATATTAATTAGAATGTTCTTACACTGGAACCTCTTAGGCCAACGGTTCTCAATATTTGGGTCGTGACCCTTTTGTGGATCAACTGACCCTGAGGGTCCCCAAAGACCATCGGAAAACTCATGTTATCTGAAGTTATGAAGTAGCAACAAAAATAATTGTATGGCTGGAAGTCGCCACAACATGAGGAACCGTATTAAAGGGTCCCCGCGTTAGGACGGTTGATAACCACTGCCCCAGGCCATAAAATAAAGGGAGACCAAATAAACACATAAATAACAGGTGAATGATGATGACTATCATCACATCAAGCGTGGGTTGCAGAGCGACAGGATCGTCCACACCAGACAGCAAGGCACTTGATGATCATCATCCCATCAATGCAGGCAGATCCATGTAGGTGCAATCAGATCCATGTAGGGCCTTTGACCTTCTTATAAACAGCTTAAAAAGCATGAAGCAACTTCTTATGCTTTTCTCATCATCATTATTGTCACTAGGTCACCAGTCGCTGTCAACTGTCTGATCCGATCCTTCCCCCTTTAATGGTCAGATGCAATGGACTTCATGTTGCATACCTAAAGCCTGTCCAGTCAGTCAAATTCTGTATCCAGGTCTTTCTGGGTCTGCCTCTTCCCCTCTACTGAGCCCTGTAGTATTGTTTTTGAGAGGCCGTTAGATCTTACTACATGTCTGTACTTCTGGATTTTCCATCTTTTCACTGTATAAATTATTTATAATTACCCAGCACTTTGGCAACAATGAACCTCTTCTTGTACCCTTAGTGACACTGTTATGCCAGCCACTTCCAAGTTGCACCCTTTTATCCGCCATCCAGGATGGATAGAGAGTCATGTCTGTCGCTGTAATTAATATATGGCATTGATGACATTGCCCCGTGTCCAGACCAGGAGTTGCTGCTGTCTTTGTTGTGAGGGATCACAGAATATAGGGGCCTGTCTTCCCTACTGAACAACTATTCACCACAGCCTTCAGTACCAAGGGGACATTTCTGCAGTTTTTTTTGTACAGGGGTTGAGTAGATTTAACATACTGTATTATCCTATAAATGACAGACACTTGGGTAAAATGTGTAACTTCACAGTTTATGTAAAAAAGATTAATAGATTTCTGATTCCCTTTTTTCATTTGATCTTTATAAATCTCTAACTTTCTTTAGTGAAGTAAAGAGCTTCTTTATGAACAACCAATGTCTGTAATGGTTTTGATGTGTTTAAACAGTTAACTGGCTTTGTTTACATTTTAAATTAAATTCACAATATTTTCACTTCAATAATCACACTATTTTACTTATACTGCATTATAAATAAATGGACTTACTTAATTATATATCTTATATTCATATCAAATTTAGAAATATATAATCTGCCACTTCAAGTCGTAGATATGTTGATATGAATCTACTGAGAGCCAGATTGTATAGAACTCATAGACAGTAAAATATATTTGTTGGTTATATTTCAATCTGTATAAAGAAGTATACTAAAGACACTATAAAATCTATAGAAGAAGAAAAATTAAAACTGATTAGAACAGTGTTAAAGAGAGAACTGATTGCTTACATCAGAAGGGGACAATCTACATTCTTTGCTCCTGTCATGATAAGGAGAAAACTGGAGTACATCCTGACAGTGGGAAAGTTGGACTAGAAAAGAGGCACAGAGAGAGAGAGAGAGAAGATGAAGAACAACATCATGACATGGAAGGATATGTGTCAGAATTGACTAAAAGTACATGAGACAGAAAGTTGTGGACAGACATGACTACCGGCGCCACACAGCATGGAATATAAAAGAAGAACTGTTTGGTTATTGTTTTTTTTTTTTTTTGGTGCCATTTTGTGAATACAAGTTCGGCAGAGATGATAGAAAGATAGGCAAATACACCTGGTATGTAATATGACTCACACAGAAGCTGTGCCATATATTGTTTTTTTTTTTTTTTTATTCTAGCATACCATGGTTGAAAAGAGTAATTTATTTAGAATCTACTTTTAAAATTTTAAGGTTAACAAGGTGTGAGGTAATTTTATTTGTAAAATGTGACATTAGTAACATAACATTCAATTCCAGTTACACAACTGTAATTCTTTAAAAGTAATTTCACTATTTTGTGTTCTTTTTTCACACTTTTTCAAGACTATAAGTCTCTAGCAGTGTTTGACTATATGGACTATATCCTTGTTAGTTATATATGGACTTTAGTACCCTAGCACTTTCATGTTAGTAAACAATAAATTTAAGTTTTAATGCTTAAGCTATACACAACATGGAAACTACCAAGTTGTCTTTTTATGATATATGTGCATATTAGGTATGTTCTTGAAAATAACAAACTATTTTAATCACTGAAAGGCCCATAAAGTTGTGAAGGTTTTAAAACCATACTCCTGCAGTATGTCAGTCAAATCCCTTCTGAGTGGAGATATTAGCTTTTTAATGACATACTAAGAAGAGCGAGAAGCATAACTTTATATCTCACTCATTGCCCAGAGCAGTAAAAGAAGAAGAAGAATGGCATACTGGTAAGTGAAATCAGTTACAAGGGAGGAAAAAAAAATGCGTAAGTTAGTAAAATGGTTTCGGTATTGGAAATGTTAGCAACTGAATCTCTAGGCACACAGATTTCTGAAAACCCAGATTAAGGGCAAATTGTCACTTGCTGAATGATGTTAGGAAATT